CCCCCCCCCCCCCCCCCCGCAAGTGCACGAATTTTCGTGCACCAGGCCTCTAGTTTCATCTATATTAGAGGGTTGGTAAATTTTTTTTGTAAAGGGTTAGATGGTAAGTATTTTAGGCTTTGTGGGCTCTGTTGCAACAACTTAACTCTGCCTTAGCATCATGAAAGCAGCCAGACAATTAGTACTGAAATGGACATGGACATGTTCAAGTCAAACATCATTTATAAAAACAATTGAGAAAAAAAATGAAAGAAACAACAACAAAAAAATACACAAGTGAGGACCAGATTTGGCCTGTGAGCCAAAGTTTGCCAACCTCTGAGCTACGTAATGCCACATATTTTTTAAAAATTGTAATAAAACATAAATGAAAGAATTCCCTAACTTGATAAAGCAGATTAATCTCAGTTCAAAAGTAAATATTATGTCACCCCAATCAACTTAAATTTTTTTTAAAAAAGTAAATATTATGCCTAGTGTGGAAAGGGTAGCTACTAACTCCACTATTATTAGTATATTATTTTTAATTTTTATTGAATGTATTGGGGTAATATATATATATATATATATATGCATGCCTAAGCGACCGACCGACTGGCCGACCAGCCGGTAGCTATGACACACAATGACCACCAGGGGGCAGATGCTCAATGCAGGAGCTGCCAAGCGACAGCAACTTTGCAGAGTGCCCTCTTGCACTCCAGGACCCCTGGGGGGATGTTGGACTGCCGTTTTTGGTCCTATCCCTGCAGGCCAGGCCGAGGGACCCCACTGGTACATGAATCTGTGCACCAGTCCTCTAGTTGGTTAATAAAATTATATAGGTTTCAAGTGTACAATTCCATAATGCATTTTCATATTTAAAACTGTATCCAAATGGAAAAATACTGGAGTTTGTTATCCCTTAACAGGTAACCCAAAGAATTGTTTGAAAATTTTCTTCCACTAGATGTTTTGATGGCTTATAAAAAAACGTATTAATGTGGCCCTATTTTCTTCTCATTTATAGGTGATCTTTCAAATTAAGAACAAGACTAACAATCCATCATATCGAAGAAGTACATTTCCCTTCCCCAAGGAAAACATGATTCTTTGGCATTTGGTTAACTTTATCACTGGAGAAGGCTGCTGTTTTATGTCTTAAACACATTCTGCAGCAGAGAAGTCTAAATCCTACCAAAATAATGATTTTAAGTTGACTTCTACTGGATGGATTTCAGTAACTGGTTTTATGAGAAGAGTTTGTGAGCAAAAACTAGAAAGAGACTAGGCAGTGAGTGCTTTGCATGGGCAATAATATTTGACATCAGGGGTTGGCAAATGATGGCTTTGGGCCAAATCTGGCCCACTGCCTGTTTCGTAAATAAAGTTTCATTGGAACATAGCCAGGCTCATTAACTTATGTATTGTCTATGGCTGCTTTTGTGCAACAGCAAGGTTGAGTAGTTGTAACCATATGTCCTGTATAGCCTGAAATATTTAGGTGAAGAGATTTAAAAAAATATATCTGACACATAGACATGGACAACAGGGTAGTGACTGCCAGAGAGAAAGGGGGTAGGGACAGGTGGAAGTGGGCAAAAAGGGGATAGAGATGTGAAAAGACTTGGCTTTGGGTAGTGAGCACACAATCCGGGACCGCTGGCTCCTAACCACTCGCCTGCCTGCCTGCCTGCCTGGCCTGCCTGATCACCCATAACCACCTCTGCCTGCTGGCCTGATGCCCCTAACTGCTCCCCTACAGGCCTGATCGCCCCTAATTGCCTCTGCCTCAGCCCCAGCCACCGTGGCTTTGTCTGGAAGGACGTCCAGAAGATGTCTGGTCTAATTAGCATATTACTCTTTTATTAGTATAGATGTGGTCCCTGTTACTGTGGGGTCATCCTGCGTGAATCAGTGGAAAAATACTTATTTTCCCACAATCTAAATAGTTCATCAAATTATTTCTCCATCAACCACTGTGGAAAGAATTTGTTCCTTCTGCATTGCAATATATGATTAAATGTAAAGAAAACTTATGTCCAAAATGGGCAAGTAGCTGTGAGACACATGGTAGTAGCGGCCGTCGGGGAGGAAATGTCCCCTCTCTGGGTTATTAACTTGACATAACACTTAGAGGCATGTCTAGGGGAAAAAATCTTGTTTTTACAGTCAGGCAGGCTAACCCTGTTTTGATTAGAAACCCAATGGCTATGTCCTGAGAAGTCAATACCCAATTTACTGTCAATGAGAACAGGAGCATGCTGCCAATTTCAATATTCATGGCATGGGTACCAGAACTGGAATTTTCTTGCCTCTCTCATAAACAGGACACAAGAAATGGCGGGCTAATACTTCACAAACACTTCATTTCCTGCTTACAAATGTCTGATAAACTATTTGGACTTGGCAATATCAACCAAGCATCGCATGTTATGGCCAGAATTGATGTTATGTCTAGAAATGGGCCAAATTTGTATTTGAGGTTGACAGCTACGAAGGCATAATAGCAGGTACCCCATATGGTCTGTAGTTTGGCATAAACAGCCATCGGGATGATATATGATGTGCATGTTACTAGTCAGTGCAAACTACTTTCACCAGTTCCCCTTTAATCAGTACTTTGGCATTCGTAGAGAGATTAGAATGGGCAGACATCACTGAAATACTATTAAACAATTATTGAGAAATGGGGAGGACATACTCTTGTCAACAAAACACTGATTTTGTGCAGAATGGCCATGTGCCCAGCCAGACATTCTTTCAGTCTTTTCTGCCTTTGGACATGACCTTGCAACATGGCTCTGGCCCACAAGACACAAGCTGAAATTTGCTAGATGGGTCTTCTGAGCAAACTTTCTGTTCTCCTGATAAACAAAGACACTCTTGGCTGACGGAAGTTTTTGTCATCATTTCCCCTCTGCCCCTCTCTTTTTGTCTCTAACTTGAGCGTAATACTTGGAGGCGGAGTCCTCCTGTTGCGATCATGGGGCCAAAAGCAACACAATGAAGGTGGCCGAGCAGAAAGAGAGAAAGTGTGGAGTCAGAGGTCATCACTGAACTCTGCCCAGCCTTAGAGCACATGCCTCTGTCCTCCTGCTTCATGATATGAACACTCTTTGATGGCTCTAGTCACCGTTAATTGGATTTCCTGTTGCAACTACACTCATTGCTAAATGATATAAAAACCAAAGGAGAATTTTAACTAGACCTGGGCTGTCTAATACATTAGCCACAAACTACACGTGGCTCTGAAATTTCAATTAAATTTAATAATATTAAATAAAAGTAAAAACTCACTAACCACATTTCAAGTTTTCCACAGCCCCATGTGGCTAGCAGCTACCATATTGGAAAGTACAGATAATGTTTTTATCATCGCATCAAGTGCTAGGACAGTGGTTCTCAACCTTCTGGCCCTTTAAATTCAGTTCCTCATGTTGTGACCCCACCATAAAATTATTTTCGTTGCTACTTCATAACTGTCATGTTGCTACTGTTCTGAATCGTAATGTAAATATCTGATATGCAGGATGGTCTTAGGCGACCCCTGTGAAAGGGTCGTTCGACCGCCAAAGGGGTCACGACCCACAGGTTGAGAACCGCTGTGCCAGGAGCTAGCGTTAGTTTAGATACATCTCAGAGATAAAAGGTTAAAAAAGGACAGCATTACATTCATAAATACTTGAAACCGAGTTTGGTTCTTCCTGGTAAATGCTTTGTGGGTTGATTTCTTTCCTGAATAGGAGCGATATGGTTTGAAAGAAGAATGACATAAGAGACAGTTTGTGGGCTGACTTGTCTCCCTTGTGAATGCAGAAAGCCTAAAAGCAGCGCCTCAGGTCCTTGCAAAGAAAAAACTGATTTTCTGGGTCCAACGCTCCTTGAATACGGAACTCCTTGCTTTCTGTGCAGACTGTAAAAACAACTGCCACACAATGCTTCCTCTCTCCTCCGCCTTCCCGTGAACACGCACACATGGCATTGGAGTGGAGATGCTGCTGCCGCGCCGTTAGGGATGTGGTCCCCAGGGGGCTGCACAGCCTGAGCTCAGTGCACATCTGGCCTCACTAGATCCATGGAGCCTTCCTGCAGCCACAGGCACGGGTGGCTTCCGCTAACACAAACAAGGTCATCTAAACAGTCCACATTCTCCCAGCCAGTGTTCTCAGCTCCCACGTTAGAGGTTAACAGCACAGAAAAAGTTGGAAGCATGGTTAGGAATAGGAGTCGCCTGAGGTTTTCCTTTCTTGTTGTTGCTTTGGGTTTTAAGCTGGACTTCCCAATAGCATGCTTATCAGAAAGCACAGGATTGAAACAAGGCACAAGGAATTCTAACGTAATTTGGGGAACTGTTTGTCACGGTGACCTTGGCCAAGATGAAATGTAGTCTTTTACTAGAAAGAGCAGAGGGCTTGGGAGTCTGAACAGACCCAAGCCAAAACCTGCTTCTGCTATCGCCTAGCTATCTGACCTCCAGCAAGATGGATGAGCTCCACTGTTTGCAAAATGAGGGTTATAATGCCCTACCTCCATTTGACGTTACAAAGATTAGGCAGGGCTGTGAGTATAAAGGGTTGGGGCAGGGTGATGTTAGCTATCAAAGTTAGCTTTCATTTTTTCCTCTGCCAACGGACTGTAAGACAGGTGCCCTGCTGCCAGGAAGTGGAAAATAGCCACGTTTCCCTACGTATCTCTTTGACGAGCAACAAGGCTATTACAGTGGGGCCTTGACTTACGAGTTTAATTCATTCCGTGACGGAGCTCGTCACTCAAATTACTCGTATGTCAAATCAAAAGTGAACGAGTGAGACACGTGATGCTGGGCTGATGTTGTGGCGTTCACTGTGACGTTCGCTGCGCCAACTAGCGGTGGGGTATCTGAAGCTGGCTCGTAACCCGAATTTTAGCTCGCAACTCAAAGCAAAAAATCGGCCGAGAGGCGGCTCGTATCTCGAAAAACTCGTTAGTCGGGACACTCGTAAGTCAAGGCCCCACTGTATTTGCCTTACCAATGCTCTAAGAGTGAAGGGAATGGTGTAAGTATGCTTTTAATGATGGAGATTCTCTTTTTTCCTGTATCCTCAATTAGTCTCCGACTATGTCATTTTCATTGGGAAAAAAAAAAGAGTGCCAGAAATTGTTTCTGGGATTATTAGACTCCATTCCTCAATCAGAAGCCTACATGTATCCCTGGTTTTTAGGGAACTGACCTGGTGGCAAAGTGTGGATCATGAATATACACAATATTAAACAACCACCACCACCCACAAACACAGTACCTGTTAGGTAATCCAGACATTCTAGCAATTTCTTCTCTCGGGAAAAATCTAAGGCAAAGGTGTCAAATGTGTCATTGAGGTTGATTTCAGGAATTAGAACCTGGGAAGATGCAGTTGCCATGGAGACTCTGTAATTTAAACAAAACAACTTTTTAGCAATGTTAAGATGGCTTTCGCTATACCTACATAAGATTTTTAAAAATCACAGAAAAGAAATATAATTTAAAAATAGTGCAGTTTTACACCTGAGCCTTAAAAGATTCGTGGAACCAGCATAATACAGAGACACAATACAAATGAACTCGAGCTTAAAGAAAAGGCAGGGGAACCGGAAATGGCTTCCCATTCCTTTTTCCTATTGAGGGGGGGAAATTCCCCATGGAGGAGAAAGAATATTCATATTTCATGTTGCTGTGTATTTAACAGCCTGGCCCCATCACATCTAACCCCAGTGAGAAGCACATAGCTGCAGGCATTTCTTCACACATCTGCCTGGGAAACTGTTTGTTCCTTTCAGACTCGACCCTGCTCCACTTCAAAGAGGAGTCACCAAAATTTCAAACTGCATAAAAGGCCAAGTACAGATGAAAAAAAGAATGTTTCCAGATATTGGATTAGTTTAATCAATAACTAGCCTCTCTCTAAAATAAACATTAAAAAAGGAGTTTTTGTCTGGCTCATTTTCATTCTCCTTGTATTCATTTTCTGGCACCATATTCCCAGCAGATGGCATGGAAAATATTCACGAGCTTTCTCACAGACCCCCTCAATGGACGCACTGTTTCTCCTCTTCACCTAGGGTTGCAGGTTAGACTTCTCATTTATAAACCCTACAGCAGTGGTTCTCAACCTTCCTAATGCCGCGACCCTTTCATACAGTTCCTCATGTTGTGGTGACCCCCAATTCATTGTTACAAATTGAACATAATGAAAGCATGGTGATTCATCACAAAAACATTATGTAATTATATATGTGTTTTCCGATGGTCTTAGGCGACCCCTGTGAAAGGGTCGTTCGACCCCCAAAGGGGTCGCGACCCACAGGTTGAGAACCGCTGCCCTACAGCAAGGTACAGGTAAGTATCAATGTCCACAACTGGCAAACCCAGAGATAAAAAGTAGGCTGGTGGTTGCCGGGGGCCGGGGCAAGGCAGCAATGTAGAGTGACTGCTCATGGGTATGGGGCAGTGGTCGGCAAACTGCGGCTCACGAGCCACATGTGGCTCTTTGGCCCCTTGAGTGTGGCCACGAAGTTTCAATCGCACTGTACGTGCGCGCCCGCACGTGGTATTTTGTGGAAGAGCCACACTCAAGGGGCCGCAGTTTTCTGACCACTGGTATGGGGTGATGAAAATATTTTGGAACTTGATAAGCAGTAGTGATTGTAGAACACTGTGAATGGACTAGATGCCACTGAATCGCGTATGTAAAAATGGCTAATTCTGTTATGTGAATTTCACCTCAATAAAAACAATTTACACCTGTGAAATGCTCAAAACGTGCCGGCGCATTTTCAGTGCTGTAGTGGGAGAGAAGTAGAGGAAAAATCATCAGAATGACATTGGGATCTGAAAGAAGAGCTCTAAGTGCATGAATGAGAGTGAAGAATCTACACTCACCACCTTACCCTTTTGCCAAGAAGCAATGAATAACAGTTGTGATTTTGTTTGCTAAATATTGCACCCAAAGGGAATTGGACTAATTATTGTGACTATTAACTGCTAATGAATAAAGGGATATGGTCATAACTGCTAATTTAAACTAATGAATAAAGGGATATGGTCTAACTGTATTTAAAAAAATGCCTTCCTGCCCTGGCTGTTGTGGCTCGGTTGGTTGGGTGCCGGCCCGTGCACAATAGGGTTGCGGGTTCGATTTCTAGTAGGAGGCAAGCAGGAGGCAGCCAATGTTGTGCTCTCACATAGATGTTTCTCTCTCCCCCTCTCTAAATAAATCAATAAAAATAATTTTAAAAAATGCTTTCCTTATGACCCATAAACACAAAAACTCAAAGAGATCCTAGTGTTGTTCAACAAATACTTACTAAGCCCTTAAAGTATGCCATGTACTGAAGAGCCCAAAGAATTTGCAACAATGCAGAAAAGTAAAAAGAAATGCTCTAGCCCTAACTGGTTTGCTCAGTGGATAGAGTGTCAGCCTGCGGATGAAGGGTCCCGGGTTTGATTCTGGCCAAGGTCACATGCCTGGTTGCAGGCTCAATTCCCAGTGGGGGTGTACAGGAGGCAGATGATCAATGATTCTCTCTCATCATTGATGTTTCTCTCTCTCTCTCTCTCTCTCTCTCTCTGCCTCCCTTCCTCTCTGAAATCAATAAAAGTATTTTTTGGGGAAAAAAGAAATGCTCTACACCCGAAACTAATACAACATAATACTGAATGTAAACTCTAACTGAAAAACAAAATGAAGACAAAGAAATGCTATAGTGCCCACTGAACTCCTCAAATAGAAATTTTAAAGTGAAACCCCAATTGATTCTGTGTCACAATGTCCAGTAGGGAGAATTGCAATGAGTTATTATGAAACAAGTGCCTAATTTTCTATTGCGTTTCCCTGACATACACATGTAACACAGATCTTGTGCTCAACAGGTTAGCAGTGGTTCTCAACCTTCTGGCCCTTTAAATACAGTTCCTCATGTTGTGACCCAACCATATTCGTTGCTACTTCATAACTGTCATGTTGCTACTGTTATGAATCGTCATGGAAATATCTGATATGCAGGATGGTCTTAGGCGACCCCTGTGAAAGGGTCGATCGACTGCCAAAGGGGTCGTGACCCACAGGTTGAGAACCGCTGGGTTAGAGGATCTCAATTGCTCTCAACAGATAATCTTGCTTTGGCACTTTTTCTGTCCAGTGGCAGAAGCCTCTGTTTAGGCTCATCCAAAACAGCTTTCCTTCCTAAGCTCCTGCTGGTTCTATGGGCCACACGCAATGAAATAAAGCCTGCTTTGGTCTAGCGACACTGTTAAAAACGCCTGCCATGTTGATGGTGGGAACTTTGGGGAATGGGAATGGAAAGGCTGAAAGCTCCTAAGCCTGGGAGGCAAAGACTGACAGCAAGGCTCTTTGGAGATTACTGCAGCTTTTAACACCAACACATTTTTTTATGGAAGGCAAGATATTTATCTTTGGCTACAATTTCAAATTCTTAATTGGAGTGACGGCCAAGGGGAGCTCTGCCAATTTCAACATTTTAGGCTGTGTTTTTATTCCCCAAATCCTTGTTGCCCATCTTCTGGCCTTTCAGATAAGTTGCCAAAATCCACCTGGGCCATCAGTGTATGCCACTTTCTCAATTCCTCCCTTTTACACTCATGACTCTGTGTGTGTGTGTGTGTGTGTGTGCATGCACGTACGTGAGTGCACGTGTGTGCATGCTTGTGGGTATGTGCACTAAGCTTTTAACATATCGGGGCAAATGAGGGCATTGTGTCACAGCTTGATGCTTAATGGGGGGGCTGCACATTACTCTGTTTCTGTCTACTCTGATGCCCCTAATCTCCACAACACTCAGTTGCTATCAGCCACATGGGGCTCCTTTTCCAGAAGGTGGATATGTCGAGAGCTACACTGCTCACAGGTTTCGGCCAAACAGCCAGTGCCAGGGGAAGACACTCTACCCTTCCTGCCTAATATCCCCACCTCCGTGCCCAACCCCTGCCAACGGCGCTTAACTGTGCCTCTCTCAGGTGGGCAGTCCACGAGGCACATTACCATGGTAAAACCTGATGAGGTCTCACAGAAACCAAACATGGCCTACTTTGGTCAGCTCAGGATTTCCCAAATGCATTTGGCTCCTCGACCTTGGTGTTTTAATGCCAATTAACACCCTGCAGAACACACTTCAAAAACCATGCATCAGCCCTAGCCGGTTTGGCTCAATGGATAGAGCATCGGCCTGCAGATGCAAGGGGCCCGGTTTCGATTCCGGTCAAGGGCACATACCTCGGCTGCAGGCTCCTCCCTGGCCCGGGCCCTGGTCAGGGAGTGTGCAGGAGGCAACCAATCGATGTGTCTCTCTCACATCGATGTTTTTCTCTGTATTTCCCTCTCTCTTCCACTCTCTCTAAAAATCAATGGAAAAATATCCTCAGATGAGAATTTAAAAAACAAAAACAAAACAAAAAACCATTCATCAGATGTGCTCTGATTCTTATAATCAAGTACATCTTCCTAGAGCTGACAACTGGAGTTCTTGGCTTTGTGTTCTGGGAAAGTCTGATGGATCTTGGAACTGCCTGTGCTGGTGAGGGACAAAGAGGTCACCTTGTGGAGTTGAGCCCCTCCTAAGAACTCTGAAAAAATGGATACTGCTCAGAAGGAACTTTCTTTTTACCATACTCTTCATGCAGATAATTTGCTACTAAGGGTGGCTTTTTATTTTATTTTTTTAATCCTCACCCGAGGACACGCTTAGAGAGGGAGAGAGAGAGCGAGAGAAAGAGAGAGAGGGAGGATTGAACCCGAAACCCAGGTATGTGCCCTGACTGAGAATCGAACCAGCAACCTTTTGGTGCACAGGATGACGCTTCACCAACTGAGCCACTCTGGCCAGATGAAGAGTAGTTTTAATTTTAGATTTCTTATAAGTAGATCAACTTTTCTTTGCTTGGATTTAGTGAAGAGTTTTGCTTATTTAATGTAATTTTATAATGATACATATACCATCACACCGAAGACCTATACATTAGTGTAGCTTGAGAATACGGTATGTGACACCATCCACTGGCATCCACAGGGTGAGGGGGAAGGAAGAGAATGAGCACTGGTTGCATGGACATCTTGTGACAGGAGCTGGGCTACATGATTTCATTGTGTCTCTCCAACAACCATGTTCGGTAGGAGTCATCGGTCCTATTTTAGAGATTTGTTCACTCATTTATTCATTTCAGGCAGTTGGCTATGAGCCGGGGCTACAGTGGTGAAAACAAGATGGCTGCAGGTCCTGCCCACCGGGAACTCAGGAGCAGAAGTGCTCACAAGTGTTAAGGAGCAGCCCAATATTATCCATAAGCTCTACTAAGCCAGTGGTCTGCAAACTGCGGCTCGGCCAACTGCGGCTCGCGAGCCACATGCGGCTCTTTGGCCCCTTGAGTGTGGCTCTTCCTAAGCCTTAGGAGTCTCCTAATTAAGTTAATCACAATGTACCTACCTATACAGTTTAAGTTTAAAAAATTTGGCTCTCAAAAGAAATTTCAATCGTTGTACTGTTGATATTTGGCTCTGTTGACTCATGAGTTTGCCGACCACTGTGCTAGACCAAACTTGTAAAAATACTGTACATTACTCTCATTGAAAGAACGGTGAAAATGAAAATATCCATGCCTACCTTCATGTGATATTTTGAGAATTGGCACATTGTCCAACACAAGCAAGCACTTAATAAATGTTAGTTTTCTTTCTCCTTCCTTGAAGAAATTCAAGTCCTAAGATGGTATTTATTTTTTCCTGGACAAGGGGTTGGCAAAGTACAGCCCGTGGGCCGAATCTAGCCTGTTTTTGTTTTTAATGTTTTATTGATTAAGTTATTAAAGATGTGTCCTTATCCCCACATTACCCCCCAGTACCCCATTTTTTAAATGGTTTACTGGAACACAGCCACGCACGTCCATTCATTTCCATATTATCTATATAGGCTGTTGTAGAGCTACAGCGGCAGAGTTAAGTAGTTGTGACTGAGACCTTATCATCAGCATAGCTGAAAGTATTTACTCTCTGGTCCTTTACAGAAAAAGTTTGCAGACTCCTGCTCAGGGAGAAAGACCAGCATGAAGGAGCTGTCTGGCGTCTTCTAGCAATAGGATTCGATTGTTTGGTCTAAGGGGCAGCTGACTATGAAAATTAGAATGAATAAAAGGTCAAGGCCATCTGCACTGATTATGGAGATGTCACTAAGGTGGTGTTAGGTGCTTTGCTTGGGCTCCACTGGGATGGCTACAGGTGTCGGCATCAGTGAAGGTCAGTAATGTTTATGTCGATCAAGTACACGCACTGAAGGAGCACTCACCACGCCAGGTTTACTGCCCAACTAAACAGTCACATGATATCGTTTTTATGTTTTCTATCCTGGAATAAAGTGTATTTTAAAAGTGGAAGGTATTGTCAAGGGCGGGGGAAAAAAAGGACACATATGTAATACCCTTTGTAATGCTTTAAGCAATTAAAAAAATAAAATAAAAGTGGAAGGTATGAGGTGGACAGTTTGGTCCTTTCTCTCCCATGTGAGTTGGCCTTGACCTTTTCAGGAGGCGAAACTTCTCAACCAAATAGAACAGGCCTAACAGAGAACACCTGGCCCATTTTTTCTTCAGTAGATGAGCCTTGAAATGGAAGAAAAGATTCCCTTTTATGTTTCTGCCTTCTTCCTGATTCTTTACTATCAAGAGTATGATAAGATCAGGTCTGAGAGTCACAATGCGTGCTGCTTTTGTGCCCTCATAAGTTCTTCCCCCCCTCCTTCAAAAGCAGGCCGATTTTATTCTTTCCAACTGGTGGCCTCTTATTTCAAAGGCCCTGAACTCCAGGCTGCTACTGAAAAGTCCCTGACATGTCAAAGGGAAGCATCTTCAGTGGGGACAAAGCAACTCAAAGCGTCTATTCTGTCCCTACTCAGCCTTGAAAATGAAAACAAAAGCAAGGCGAGGGCAAGGCCAACCAATCACACCCGAGACAGCAGCTCCGCAGCGAACTTCCCAGCGGCCCCCGCACTCACCTCTCAGTGATATTCTTCGCCGTCTGCAGGAACCGCGCGTGGTCATTCTCCTTCAGCGAGTGCTCCGCTTGGGAGATGAGGGAGGCCGAGCGCTCGATGCACTGTTTGCAGTTGGCAATCTGCTGGGCCAGCTTGCGAAGCCTCATCACCTTGGAGAGAAGCATGGAGAGCGTTACACGAGTCTCCTCATGTAGTGACAGTGCATCGGGCTGGAACCTTCTGATGCGCGGATGTTGTTGTATGTAAGCCATCCTTCAATACAAGTTCAAAACGTAGGCTCAGGGAGATAGGGAAATAGAGCGATCTGTTCTGGGACTCTGCTCTTATCAGCGGTTCTCAACCTGTGGGTCGCGACCCCTTTGGCGGTCGAACGACCCTTTCACAGGGGTCGCCTAAGACCATCCTGCATATCAGATATTGACATGATGATTCAGAACAGTAGCAACATGACAGTCATGAAGTAGCAACGAAAATAATTTTATGGTTGGGTCACAACATGAGGAACTGTATTTAAAGGGCCAGAAGGTTGAGAACCACTGTCTTAGATATTCTTTATCTCCCTGGAGAAGTGTTGCTAATTTGTTTTATGAAGAAGCACTGAATTGCGAATTGCTTCCCTTTGATGGGGGGAAGGTGTTGCTCAGTGGTAAGTTACCAAGGGTCACCAGGCCCCTTCCCGTGACTACTACACACCATTACAGTAAGATCGCAGAGCATGCTGGAACTGTGTCTTCGTTTTCAGCTCTGCCATCAAGAAAACATCACATCTCTATGGTACAGTAAAAGCCATTTTGTCAAAAGTTCTTTGCAACCCATGGTATAAAACTGCGATATAAAAACATTAGGTATTACGAGTTCCCCACACTATCTAAAACTCACGCGTTAAATGAACAGAAAGTGAGCATTTTTTCCATTGATTAATATTTTTCCTGTTGAGCAGATGAGAGAAAGCCAAAGAAAGCACAGCTGGGCCATTTCCCCTCCCTGGGAACGTCATTTCCAGGCACTTCGTGCTCACTTGATAACTAAGAACTATTTTGATAAGCATTTCCCAGTCGGGATAAAAACGCACGCTTGCTTCCAGCCTTCATTCCAACCCCCGATTCTGTCTTACTTGAAAAGGACCCTCCAACGTAATCGACCATCACCTCTGGGGCAGGCCAAGATAAGCCCACCGTAACCCACTTGACCGCTGGCTCTGGCGTTGGCCATGTGCTGCGAGATGAAGCCCTCTGGCCGGAAGCCAAGATAAAATTAGACCGCTAATTGGAATTGCCGGGTGCCTAGTGCCCCCGTCCACACAGCCGGGGCCAGGTCTTGGCTGGCTTTCCGATCATTCCGGAATGGAAAACAGCCCCGGGTGAAAGGCTAGGGAGGAGGCCGGGTCATCTGTCTTGCAGACAAGGCTGGCTCAGGCTCCCTCCAGAATTCCTGCTCACTCCAAGAAATTCCTGCTTTCTCCAAGTCACCGTTATCATCCCCAGGCAAGTCTAATCGAAGGAAAGGAAGGAAGGGGATGTCAGAGCTGGGGGCCTCCGAGGAACGTCCGATTCCAGCTCTGTCGCACTACGGAAAACAGAGGAAATGAATGCTGAATGGAGAGGCAGCGGCCACAAGATTTCAGGCCAGAGTGAGAGAAGTTCTTGAAAGTAAAGATTTAAGGAAAGAAGTGTCCAAACTTTGGGGCAACCAAGATGTGATCTCAAGCCTGGTAGAAGACTTCCCTCATTATGATTATAGTGACCACCTGCAGTAGAGGAACTGTGTTCATTAGTTGAATGCAAGAACACTTCTTTTACACCAAGGAGAACTGAGCTTCTAACATCATTATATCCAGAGGTAAAGCTAAGAAAGGCAGAGTCTAATTCCAGATATGAGAACATGTCCATGAGAAAATGTCAGAGGAAGGAAAAATGACTTCAAGTCCCTAGACCAGTGATGGCAAACCTTTTGAGCTCGGCGTGTCAGCATTTTGAAAAACCCTAACTAAACTCTGGTGCCGTGTCACATATAGAAATTTTTTGGTATTTGCAACCATAGTAAAACAAAGACATACTTTTGATATTTATTTTATATATTTAAATGCCATTTAACAAAGAAAAATCAACCAAAAAATGAGTTCGCGTGTCACCTCTGACACGCGTGTCACAGGTTCGCCATCACTGCCCTAGAATAAAGCAAGTACATGGAATATTTAATTATACAACATAAAGAATGCTTTCAATTATATGGTAGAATTGAAGATGTTTAATATAATTCTAACAAAAGAAAAAGAAAGTCAAAATATTCCCTTAGAATAACTTCATGTCAATCCTTATCCTTTTGGCATGCCTATTAGTGACCACACAGTTCACACATGTAACAATGCTTGAACTCCATTTTCTTCTTTCTTTTCTTCAGTCATGATACTGGAAATGAAAAGTGACATAAGTGGAAAAGAAAAGAAGCCTTAAATCATGCATAAGTTGAAGCAAGCCAAAATAAGAGCCTCCTTTGAAAATATGGGAATGTTTTACAGAAAACAATTGTTGGCATAATTTTAATTTTAGTTCAGTGTACAATTCCATCCAATAGACCAGACTGGAACTTTTCAAGCCCAGTGTGCACAAGAATCAGCTGGGGATTTTTTAAAGGAAAAATGAGTTGTTTGCAGTCCCTCTCCCATGTCCTAGGTAAGGAGCTGTCATTGGCAGAGCAGCAGGAATCAGCATTTTAACAAGCAATGAAAGCTTTTTGAACTGTAGGTGATGAATCATTAGTATGCTCAGGGCTAGCATTAAAAAAAAAACTAAATAGAAGAGGAGAGGGGAGGAGAAAAAAAAGTAGCAGAGTGCATTTCTGGTAGAAAGGGCAAGTTATGTTTTAGAAAACCTTTTTTTGCTATTGCGTGTCTATGCTGAATTTGATGTCACATGTATTTCTTACTATAGGTTTCATTTAAAAAAAGAAAAGAGAAAACCATTGTTCTAAGTTGGGTGTTCCCAAACTATGGTCTGTGGGCCATATCCAGCACGAACCCTATTTGTATAAATAAACTTTTATTGGCACACTGCCACATTCATTCATTTTTGAATCTATGGCTGACTTCACACTACAACTTTGGGCAGAGGTGAGCTGTTGCAACAGAGACCATATGGCAAAGCCTAAAATAGTTATAATCTGGCTTGTACCTTTACAAAAAAAGTTTGCCGACTTAAATGATTCTGATCAGATGGCACTGATTTGCACCACACTCGGTGAAACACTGTCCTACATGGTACAGCACTTCAGAATCAGACACTGAGCATTTAGCAAAATACTAATTTCTTCATTATAAACCACTTTTTAATGTATTATTTAAAAAATCTGACAAAATGAAATATGACTTTGTAAAAAAAAGATTTCTATTGACTTTTAAAGAGAGTGGAAGGGAGAGGGAGAGAGAGAGATATTAATGTGAGAAAGAAATATTGGTCAGTTGCCTCCTGCATTCCCTCTACTGGGGATTGAATCTGCAACCCAGGCATGTGCTCTGACTGGGAATTGAACTGGCAACCTTTTGGTGCATGGGACGATGCCCAACCGAGCCACCCTGGCCAGGGTGAAATTTTTTAAAAGAAATAACTAGATACTAATACATAAGATTCTCTGTATGTATGTATGACGGCTGCAGGGGAAACTTTTCTGAGTTGGCACTGGTGGGGCAGCGTGATCGCCACAGTGAATTTTTGGAATTCATTCCATACTCATCATGGAAATATTCTCTGTTGGAATGTCCTTTTAGTGGGGACATAGACCTATTTATGTCATTTTATTGGTTGTTTATTATTACCTTAAATATGCTTTTAAAAGTAGTCCTTGATTTTTCTTTAAATGTATTTTAAATGCTTATATATGTGTGTAGGATTCCTATCCCAATGTTGCTATGGCCAAATAATTGATCCTCGATTGACACAAGTATTTGAGCCGACAATGAAGTCCATACTCAGCATTTCTGTAAGGCTTCAGAAAAGCCTGAACATTTAGTCCAAGTTAATCATCTTAAATTTTGGGGAGTTAGCGTACATAAAAGCAGTGAAGAGAAGGACCCATTTTCTCTTTAGCTGCGACCTTCTATCTTAGATCTGTGAACATAAAATGCATATTTTGCTTAATCTGGAATTTTCCATCAGCTTTTCATGTGTTGATATGAAATGTATCCCCTACTACTGAAGAAATAAGACAATTCTTTTCCAGGGTGTCTCATGGCTCGAGACTCTCATGCAGTTCATCTAAGTATAAAGGCTGTCGAGCTATTTATTTCAAAGAATGCACAATGTTCTGAGAGCAGGAATGACCAGTATGTACTAATGTGCAACAACGTCGCCAGCTTGGCAACCTCCCCAGTGCGAGGATTTGTGGTGAGCTCATTCCCACCAGGCCTAATGGCTTTGTGATTGGCACCAGAGATGATGGAGGCATCCACGAAGTAGGTGAAATTCACCTTTGTGGTCTCCGCGATTCCGCCAGTTCTATCTCCAGCTACCCAAGTGCTGGTCAGAGGGCCCCACTGTCCCCTCTCTAGATTCAGTGTCCTCAGCCTGTCCAGCCACCACCCTGGGCATCCTCACAGGCCACCAAATCCATACTCACCCTCTCTGCCCAGCTCTTCTTTTCTTCAAACATAACTGATACCACATGCCCTGGCCAGGGACTCAGTCACTGTGAATTCTGGGCTTTGGGATCAACTAGTCCTTGGTCACGTGCCAAGTAACTCAAGAGAAAGCTCAACCAGGCACTGATCTTTTCCAGGTAACATTTGCTTTCTAATATTTCCTTCTGAGATAATGTCCATGAGCAAATATGCACTTTTTAATAAGTGATACATTTCAGACAGTTTAAAAAGGAATATGATTAACTTTCCTGTACACAGTACCAGCTTTACCAAATCTCAATATTCTGATCATATTAGTGGATTATCTGGGTGATTCTAATGGAATTATAAGGGTCCTTATAAAACAGCGGTTCTCAACCTGTGGGTCGCGACCCCTTTGGCAGTCGAACGACCCTTTCACAGGGGTCACCTAAGACCATCCTGCATATCAGATACTTACGTTACGATTCATAACAGTAGCAACATTACAGTTATGAAGTAGCAAGGAAAATCATTTTATGGTTGGGTCACAACATGAGGAACTGTATTTAAAGGGCCAGAAGGGTGAGAACCACTGTTCTAAAAGAACCAGGAGAGTCAGGGTCAGAGAAAGAGATTTGAGGATGGAAGCAAAGGTCAGAATGATATGATGAAGAAGCCACGAGCCAAGGAATATGCGTGGCCTCTAAAAGCAGGAAAAGCAAGGAGTGGATTCTGCCCCAGAACCTACAGAAAGAAACAGCACTGCCAAAATCTTGACTTTAGCCCAATGAGACTGATTTTGAACTTCTGATCTCTAGAAGAACAGATAATAAATCTGTGCTGTTTCAAGCCATCAAGCTTATGGTAATCTGTTATAGCAGCAATAAGAAACGAATATGAGCATTGAGAGCTGGTCCCTGCACACGACCAGGTAAAGGCAACAAATTACCTCCCATATGCAGATGAATAATTAATTACAGCTGCATTTCAGGAGTCACGTGTCTGAGAACCTGGAAGACGTCAGGTATTAAGAGACACAGACATGTAGTGCATGATGATGGAAGAGGAAATGTATCCTGTAAGGGTTCTGGCCTGACACTCAGGTGCTCTTCTAAGTTGTACAATTTATATGTGGGGAAAAGTAGCTTCTCAACACATCTGACTCAGTCTTTGGCCGGAGAACAATTACATATTAATTTGTTAATTCACTGGAACAGCTTCAGATTTGACTTCAACTTTTCTGATCACCATCACAATGTATATGTATAAGTATTTTTCAATCTATATAGGAAAAGTAATCTAAACGTAATCTAAACATTATGTAATATTAAAAGTACCTTTAAAATTCTGTAGAAAACAGAACACAACATTGGCTATTGTAATCTCAAGTACTACTCAACACTTGCTAATTTGATTTAATTATACACATTTTATATGAGCAATAATAAAAGAAATTCATGAATTTGTTGAAATGTTTCTATCTTAAATATTTACAATATTGTCTTTTGAGGGTGGCAGAGAAATGGGTAAAATAAAATGGATCATAAGTATTTCAATATAAATATAAGTAATTTTAAAAGAAAGTGATGATTTTAAAGTTACCAATGGTTTCTGAATTAATTTTGAATAAATAAGAAAAGCATCGAACAGACTGTCAAACTACAGCGGGAAGGCTGGGGGGAGGTAAGGGATCAACCAAAGGACTTGGATGCACGCACATAAGCATAACCAATGGACGTAAGACACTGGGGGGGGGGGGAGGGAAGAGGGGCATGTGCCGGGGGTAGGGAAGGCCAGGGGAAGGTCAATGGGGAAAAAGGAGACATATGTACTACTTTTGGTAATACTTTAAACAATAAAATAAAAAAAGTAAAGAAAGTGGTCATAAAGAATATAATATAAATGTGTAAAATGCTTTTTGAATATAGGTTACTGTAAAACCATAGGAAATTTAAATATGCAAACAATAAAGATTTAAAAAACACACAAAAAACTAAATATCAAACATTAGAAAGAAATACTATTAACATATCCACAAAGGGGTATGTGATATAGTGAAACTATAGGCGTTTTGCCACCATGAAATTATACATACCTAAATTCCCTCGAGGACATGAGCAAGCACTTCTACTTTTTACATATGTATAATGTCTGATTCATTTAAACATTTATTTAATACTGTGTTCATTGCTAGGACCTAGCAATAAATATGAAATGAACTTTTCCTCTATGGAAAGAGATGGGAAACAGTGGCTATAATAGACCAGAGCTTCATCTGCCTCCTAGAGTTGGGTGTGCATAGGAGACCATGATAATACAAAGAAAGGGGTGGAGAAAAAAATGGCCAAATGAGGGGCTTTGACCTAGGTCTTAAAGACTAACAAGGAGATTATAGAAAATATAGAACAAGGAGCTATTCAATATTTCTTAAGCTACTAAAGTGCATGGAACTATGATATTTTCTCCAGCTAGAGAATAAGAAATCTTCTGCCCTAGAAATCATACCTTCCCTTCTTTGATCTTGGTTCCAATAATTTGTCTTCTTTGCTGAATGATCTCAATAAGAAGATCACACTCCTCCATCAATTTGGCTTCTTGACGTGATGCATTGACCTACAGGATAGATAAAATGGTAAGCATTGATTTGGCCTTTGTTTTTAAGCAAATGTTCTTTTTAATGTAGACTAGTATGTTTTGGTAATTGCTGAAAAGATATTTAAATGTTAACACTTCTTCCAATATGCAGGGAAGACAAACATCAGGACTTACATGTTCACTTCCCATCTAGCATTCCTGGAAAAATTATTATCCAATGATAGCAGTCTTTCTCCTAAGCCAGACTCAGCCTCAAAATCTCTTAACACAACATGTACATAACTATTACCAATTAGTTAGAAATTGGCACTTGAAACATATTTGCAATGCCTGCTTTTATATTTTGAATGAAAGTATAATTTTAGCCTGTCAACCAAAAGTACGTTTTAAAAATGAATATTAGTCATTTATGGAGGACAGATTACTATCAGTATCTTTTGGACAAATTTTCCAAAAGCAAGGTAGCAAGATTAAATACATTCATTTAACTTTTCCCTTAAGCACAGATATCAACTTTGTATTTAATCACTATACTTTTTTTTTGTACAATTGTTTATACAAATTCAACAAAGGTAAAACCGAGTCGGGAAGGTCTAGGAAAACACCGCCAAACAACTATGGCACTTATGAATGCATATCTTTACAACTGGAAATAGCCATGTTATAAACCGGAAAAGAGAACTCTGCTCACACTTCAAAGGACAGAGAAAAGGAAAAGAAAGGCCACGTTGGGTTATTGATTCTACTTCTTGACTCACCGTATAAATTAGATCGATGTAGAGTCCAAGAGCTCATGAGTGCAAAGGTTGAGTTCCATTTTAAAATTTTTGAGAAAAGAGTGAATTCTATACAGGGGCACCTTGGCAACGTGTCTTATTTCCACTACACTTTACATATATGCACAACATGCTTATGTAATTTCTTAACGTCCAAAGCAGGCTCTCCGCCTCCAGGTAAACATGCTTTAACCGGAAGGTCTCGGCCTGCTCTTCCAGGTCTGGGCACATGTCTAGATGGAGTATTTGTGTTGATGAAGTCCAGGGCAAGTTCCCTCCTACCTTAAGGAAACCAGGAAAGTTGGCAATCACAAAACAATAAAAACAATGGTATGCATTCACACCTTGCATAAATAACTTTGAAACAATTTGTATAAAAATGATTCCTCATATTGTAAGATGTAACAAAACCAAGCAAAATATGTCAAGACGGCAGATGTGTTGTCCACTTCATGTTGACACCAAAACCCTGGTGTTGCAAGGAATGAGGTGTCCAGAACAAAACACCACCACAAAAAACAAAAACAAACCCCACACACAAAAACAGATAAACTCCTAAGTTCATGCTTCAGTAAACTCCTAAGTTCTTTCAGTAAAAGAATTTCTCCAAAGTTCCTCCTCCTCTCCAACAGGAATATCTTCTTGGTAAAGGCCGCCTTAGAAATGGTCCAGGAAGCAGCGCACTTACTATTCATAATAACCCAAATGTCCGGCTCACTCATCCCCAGACGGGTGGTGGAACGGCATTGCCTTGGCAAGACTTGCCAAATGGGATCATCCGTGGTCTGTTGTTCCAAGTTTCAAATTGAAAAGAAAAGCCCTCGTTTCTGGAAAGTCTTTTTCCCTCCCCCCACCCACCCCGTATTTACACACTAGTCCTTGGACTAACTCAGTTTTTGCAGGAGTTTTTCTTCCAGTTGCCCGAACCGGACACTCACAGACATTTCCGCGATGAACCGCTCACAGCCTGCCTTGGTGACCTGCTGGCAGTACCTCAGGTCAATATGACAGATGTTTCCACAGCGTTTGAAGAAGGACAGGCATTGGTCAGTGACGTTGCTGCAGTCTGACAAGTGGATTTCTGTTAAGGAGTCCCGGGTGGTGGTGCCCACTGCAGTGAGCAGGTTGATGGACTGGTCAGTCACGTGGTGACAGTAACTCAGGTGGAGCTTGGCGAGCAGGGGCAGCTGGCGGCTGATGAGCCGCAGGGAGGCGTCGGTGATGTCCAGACCCGCAAGACGCAGCTCCACGATGTTACGGAGCTTGCTCCGATGGTCCATCTGACCTGGCCTGTTATCTGTGGGCGGAGACAGGAGATGCCGCATCTGGGCATCCTTCAGCCCTTCTACCCACTGGACATCCAGGGTCCGGAGCAACGGACAATCGGAGGTACAGAGGGCCGAGACCGCGATCCACGAGCAGCCTGCCAGCACCAAGTCTCGGAGCCCTGGCAAACGGCGGATGAGCCAGCTCAGCTGATCTTGGAGATATTGGTCCAGCTGAGGTCCAGGGAGACGGGCTGGCGCCGGACGATGCCGCTCAGCATCTGGGGCGTGATGGGCCTGCAGTGGTTCAGGTCGATGCGGGCCCATAACCGCCTATCACAGCACCAGCGGTTCCAGGTAGTGCAGACCCGCATGCAGACACTCAGGTCCTGGTGGCTGAGGTGGCTGAAGACGGCCAGCCACATGTCCCTGTGCAGGACGTGGGCCGCCCCGTTGTCCAGGGGCAGCGACTCGGGTGGGGGGCGGATGGGCGGCGGCCGGATCACGTATCGCTCCATCTGCAGGCACTTGGGGAGGGGGGGGGGCACGGAAGGAGGGGGCCGGGAGATGAGCGGGGTGGGCTGCGCAGGCTGGGCCCCGGCTGGTGTCACAGTTGGAGGGTAGAGGGATGAGGGGGAAGGGGGTACCGTTGAGCCCTTCGCTTAAGCGATCGGGGCGCTCGCAGAGGCCCACGGCCGCTTGGGCTCCTTGTTCTCACTCTCGGGCTCCGACTTGATGGGCTGGTGTTGACCAGGCTGCTCTCCGTCTCCTGACCTCCTTGCTCAGCTCCTTCTCGGGGCGCCGCCGGTTCCGTTTCCGGCGCGTTTTCACCTTGTGACCTTCTGCTCTCGGGGCTGGGCCCGGCGGTGGGGGAGCTGGAGCGGAAATGGTCGCTCCCCCTGGTCTTTGGGGGGGGGGGCGGTGCGGGCGCCTGAGGCAAGTCATCCGGTTCCTGCTTGAAGCGCGGGAGGGGCTTGTTGCCTAGAGCAGTGGTTCTCAGCCTCGGCTGCACATTAGAATCACCTGGGGATCTCTTTAAAATCCTGATTTCTGGGCCTCGTCCTCCAGAAATTCTGTTTCTTTGTTACTCATGTTGTGGCCCCACCCCATCACAAAGAAACAATTTCCGGAGGATGAGGCCCAGAAATCAGGATTTTAAACAGATCCCCAGGTGATTCTCATGCACAGCCAAGGTGGAGAACCACTGGCCTAAGGCATCCGGGGTGGGTGATTTCGTTGCAGGTGGAGCACTCCATGAGCACGAGGTTAAACTCGTCCCCATCCTCTTCCACCGCGTC